AGAGAGAGAGAGAATTTTAATATTTATTTTTTAGTTTTCGGCAGACACAACATTTTTGTTTGTATGTGGTGCTGAGGATCGAATCCGGGCCACATGCATGCCAGGCAAACGTGCTATCTCTTGAGCCACATCCCCAGCCCTTCAGCAGTTTTTAATAAAAGTTGTAAATAAGATTACTTTATTCTTGCATGTTCTCAATTGTTTCCTCCTTATATTTTCCCTTTTCCTTTCCTACTTGGCCTTCTGTTTTAGGATCTTTTTGTAGTCTTTGTCCAGTTTTAGCCTTGCTGGAGTGAATGCCTACGTGGACAGTTGTGCCATATTATCCTTTTCTCACTGAACATGTTCAATGTATATAGCATATTTCATTCTGAAAACTTGGACTACTTTGCCAATCTGCTGACTTTTATTTACAGTGTCCTCATACAACCTGGACTTCATTATCCTTTCTGATGGGTGTAGATCAAACATTGTACTTCTGTCCCAGCTTCTTCCTGCTAATGTGTGAAGATGCATTGAAATGCCTTATGGTTCTTGCTTAGGTCAAAAGTCACAAAGAGATTGAACTTCATCTGGTCCCTGCTGCTTCAGTGATGGTGGCACAAAAGAAAATTCTGTTGAGTATTTTTTTTTTTTTGCCAGGGTGGGCGGTACTGGGGATTGAACTCAGCCACATCCCCAGTCCTATTTTGTATTTTATTTAGAGACAGGGTCTCACTGAGTTACTTATCGCCTCACCATTGGTGAGGCTGGCTTTGAACTTGCCATTCTCCTGCCTCAGCCTCCCAAGCTGCTGGAATTATAGGTGTGCACCACCACACTTGGCTATTGTTGAGTATTTTGAACTAAAGACCCATGAAAGTCAACAGGTGCTGGAAGAGGCTTTACTCTGACAAACCCTTAGGGGCAATAAGACTTGACCCCCAAAACTGTGATGTAGCTCAGTGAAAGAGCATAGTCCTCAGAAAGGAATATGATATTTGCCTTCCATCCTTATCCTGAAATCTCATCTATCACAAATGACTGAGAAATGTAACTG